CCCCCCCCCCCCCCCCCCCCCGAAAGACGACAAGGGAGTCTTTCTAAACTAAAACAACAACAACTACTGGTTAACGAATCAATCCAGCTGTACAATGTCTCTTGACCCTAAAAATGGTCAAAGTCTCAAAACAGTGTTCAATTCTCCTTAGTGTCTGTCTTGTAAACTGTATCACTGAACTGTTCCTAACAGGAACCTTGCTGCATATCACTGCTCGACTACAGCTGACACTGGTTTCATTTGTCCTTCGATGCGACTTAGTAACTTCTCTTCTAACATGCAGAGCTTTCGCACATCTCTGCGGTAAACTCCGTCTGCTGTTCTGACGACTACTTGGCGTACAATGCCTTCACTGTCTGGAAATGTCTGCTCCACCAACGCCTTTGGCCATCGCCCACGAGGGGTGTTCTTGTCTGCCATCAAGACTAAATCTCCTTCTTGAAAGTTAGGCTATTGACGCAACCATTTTTACCGCTCTTGGAGCGTCGGCAAATACTCTTTTGTCCACCTCTGCCAAAACTCGTTTGCGAGGAGATGAACGAGTTTCCATCTAGCTTTAAATTTATCCGATTCGTCGAACACGTCTTGAGGGGAACACGGGTTTCTTCTTAGCAGAAGAATATGACTTGGTGTGAGTGCGTCCAAGTCTTGCGGATTACTAGACACAGGTGTGATGGGTCTGTCGTTCAGAATCTTCTCTACCTCAACAAGAAATGTTCTCAAGGTTTCGTCACTTAGTAGACGTTCTCCAACTAGTGAGTACAAGATTCTTCTTACGGAACGAATGAGTCTCTCCCAAACTCCCCCTTGATGGCTGGCCGCCGGTGAGTTGAACTTCCACTCAATGCCTCTTTGGGTCAGTGTGGCTTGAATCTTCTCCTGATCCCACGCTTGAATTGCAAGGCCCTGATAACATCCACTTCGACTCCTCTAAAATTACTGCCATTATCGCTGTAAATAACGGTTGGGAGGGCTCGTCTACCAACGAAGCGCAAAACTGCATTAACAAAACTGTCTGTGGTTAGGTCTTCAGCTGCTTCTAAGTGGACTGCTCGGTATCTTAGGCAAGTGAAGATACACCCATAACGCTTGTTTGGAGACATATTTCTCCTTGATCTTGTGTTTGGTCCGTTCTTAACATATAGTGGACCAAAATAGTCCAGTCCTGCTGCTGCAAATGGGTAGATGATCCTGTGACTGTCTGACGAGACTCGAACTACTGATAGTGGTACGGTTACTTGCTCTCCTAATTTGGCATTCTGGCGCCTGCAAACATGACATTTTCTGAGGACTCGCTTCACTGAAGAAATTCCCTTAACAATCCAAAAGCGTTGCCTGATTTCTGCTAGGACTGGTAACTTCCAACGTGTCCATTCAAATCGTGATGACAAATAATCATCTCCGTAACTGGGTGTTTGCGAGGTAGTATCATTGGGTATTTCGCATCATACTTGAGATCTGAATGCTTAGGTCGTCCTCCAACACGTAAAACTTCTTCATCCTTGAATGGTTTAAGTCGGGCTAGCTGACCGGTCATCGGGTTCTTATCAACTTCACTGGGGAACGACTGCACTTGTACAAACTTCAGAATTCTCTTTTCAGCTCCAGCCACATCACAAACTGACAAAGGCACAGGACTGCACTTCAAACTTCTCATCGGGTTTCGGTTCACTTCGGTCTGCGATTGAGAACACGAAGTCCTGTGAAAGACACGGATAAGCCATGCGACTATTCTTCGCAGCCGATCCCATTTTGAATACCGTTCAAACAGAGAGCTCCAGAAATCTTTCTGGACAGTGGCTGCCCCACCTGTCGTCTTCTCTTTTTTCACACCTTCCTCGCTTTCCAGGAGATCTTCTAAGGCTTCTGCCGGTTGCGGGGGCCACTCTTGGTTGTCCTTCCACAAGAACTCTGGGCCACACTTCCATCTCTCTAGTTTCCTTGTCTCCGAAGCCTTGATTCCTCGAGAGGCGTGGTCTGCTGGATTGCGTTCTGATCTGACATGGCGCCACTGACTTGGTTCTGATTCCTGACGAATAGCGGCAACTCGATTGGCTACAAAGGTGACAAATCTTCGGGACTCATTGGCTATGTACTTCAGAACTATCATTGAGTCAGTCCAAAACGTTATGCTGTCAATCTTCAGTCTTCCTTCCAATTCCTTCATAACGACCTTGTTAATCGGGGTCGCTAAAGTGGCTGCAGTTAATTCTAACTTCGGCACAGTCACCGCACCCTTCAGGGGTCTCACGCAGGATTTACCCATGACAAAACTGCAATGTATTTGTCCTTGATCATTGATGAGGCGCAAATACGAGGCTGTCCCATAACCGTGCTCTCGCGAAGCATCAGCGAAATGGTGAAGCTCTGCCCGCACAACCTCGCCAAAGTCTCTTGGCTTAAAGCATTGCGGAATGCTGAAGCCCTGTACGCTAATAAGGCCTTCTCTCCAGTTTCTCCAACGAACACACAAATCTTCTGGTAGTTCATCGTTCCAGCCGAATTTCAGTATACACAGTTCTTGATTAATTTCTCTTCCCGGTAAGAGCAATGGACTTGCAAATCCAAGTGGGTCATACACAGTTGCAATCGAGGACAGCACTCCCTTTCGATTCTCTGACTGTTCTCCTTTACCAAAAACAAAGTTGATCGTATCCTGTTCTATGTTCCAATGGATACCTAGTGCTCTATCTAAAGGCAAGTTGTCGAATTTCAGATCCAGGTCTTTGACGTGTGGAGGTCGTTCTTCTACTGGAAATGCCGACAAGACATCGCGGTGATTCGACATCCATTCCGTGAGTTGGAAGCCCCCTCTAGCGAGCAGTTCTTGCAGCTCTCTGCTGAGGTCTACTGCATGTCCCGAATCAGCAAATGACTTGAGTAAGTCGTCCACATAGAAATCTTTAACTACAGCATCGATGACTTCTGAAGAGAAATCTTGCTCATTGTCCTTAGCTGTCTTTCTTAAGGCATACCCGGCTACACTTGGTGAAGACTTCGCACCGAAAATGTGTACAAGCATTTGATAAGTCTTCGGCTCCTTGGATAGGTCGCCATTCTGCCACCATAAATAACACAGCGCCCCACTATCTTCTGGTGCCACGTACACTTGGTGAAACATTCTCTTTATATCTGCTGTGACTGCAATGTCGTCTACTCTAAATCTGAGAATCACTCCTATGAGGGTGCTGGTATTCTCCGGCCCTCGCAACAGCTGTTCATTCAACGACGTTCTACTACACTTTGAGGCACAATCAAAAACCACCCTTGGTTCTTCTGGCTTTCGGGGATGCCATACCGCGTGATGAGGGAGGTACCAGATTGGTTTGAGCTTGGTAACTTCATCATCCGGCACCTGTCTTGATGAACCATCAGTTCCATATTTCTCCATGACACCGCTGTATTTAGCGTGGAACTCTGGGTCTCTCAGCATCTTCCTTTTCAACCACATTAGCCTCTTTTCTGCTGTTGACAGACTGTCAGGAAGGTTTGGACATTCATAACGGAATGGGAGTCTGACTTGGTAGTGCCCTTTCACTAGGGTCGCAGACTGATCCATAATCTCTTTGGCTTTACGGTCTTCGATTGACATACCTTCTAGATCTGTGTTGGTGTCACCAAACTCTTCATTGTACATGCGTTCCAACTGCGCATTCAGAATCTCTTGTTGAGTATGGGTGAAGCTTACATGAACTTGATCATCTTCAAGTTTTCCAATCGGTCCATAGACAGTCCATCCAAGAGGTGTTTTAACGGCTCAAGGCTGGCCGTATTCTCCTTCCCTCTAGTCCAACTGCTTGTCAATAATGTATGGACGATCACTGCCTATGAGAATTGTCACTTTCTTATCTCCTGTTTCTGGTAAGTTGATGTCATCAAGGTGAGACCATCTCCTTATTTCTTCGTTAGTTGCCATATGTCTAGGTGTGACAGGCAGACTGCTGGTTGTCAACACATGGTCAAGTTGAAACTTCACTTCTCCGTCTAGCGATTCCATGTTCAGCTGCACCTCATGGCCGGTCCTTTCCTCTTTACAATTGACCGTTGTCATCGTATAGTTGGATGGCTTCATGTCCTTTAAATCTAACTCTTGTAACAGACTCTCAAGACTGAACGTTGCATCGGACCACTGTCCAAAAATGCGTAAGTGAGTATCTCTTTAGTACTGCCATGACTACTAATCTTCACCGGTACAACTTTAATGCGCACTCTTGGTCTTCCAGCTCTGACAGTACTAACTGTAACAGGACGACTGGATGATGCTGTGGCACTATCGCGAACGGTTGGCAGGGTAACTGGATTAACGTTTACAGCTGTTGGCTCTGAGGTACTGGGAGGTTCTGTGACAGACCTTTCTGCTACACTACTGCTCCTGGCACTTTGCAATGCATTACGACTGCTAGCTCGACCCTCATTCTCTTTGCCATCCCCTTCCTCAGAATGGATCAGATAGTGATGATCTCTATGGCATCCTGCTTTTCCACACGTGAAACCTCTTGTACACTGTCTCGCACTGTGACCTTCCGAGAGACACATTCTGCAAAGTCGGTGCTGTCTCACTGTCTTAAGACGATCTCTTAATGAAGAGCTTCTAAATATTCGACACCTCCAAACTCCATGGGCCCCTGAACACTGTGGACACTTCAAAGGAACTCCTGCTGGTGCACCCGAGCTGTGCTGATTCTCATCACTTTGAGTGGCTAGTGTCGTGAATCTTGGCGGACAGTCCGATTTTCCATGACCAGATTCCTTCTTTTCTCTTGAAGTAGTCGAAGGCAATTTCAGTTCTTGTCCATATCTGTTGTTGATACGCTCCGCGGCTCTCCTAATGAAGCGCACAAAACCTGCATATTCAGCTTGGCCTCTGCTTTTAATGAGGTCTCCGGCTCTGTCAGCCCACTTCCTTTTAAGACTCTCATCGGGAAGCTTCCTCATCACCATCATGATCACGTCCTCGCTATCCAAGCGTGTTGCGTAGTGAGTACCCATATTCGTCAAGACTCTTCTGGCATCTTCTAACCGCCTTGCAAAATCCATGAGAGTTGATGCATCAGCCTTTCGCACTTCTATTTCTCTCAATTTCTTCATATGGGCTTCCACAATCATGTGAGGCTGGCCAAAATTGTCATGAAGGGTTTTCCGTGCTTCAGAGTACCTATAGCCCACTGGTAAATTCACACAGCTTCTAATCGCCTCCCTAGCCTTTCCTGTAGACTGTGCAAGCAGGCGCGTAAGTCTCTGTGATTCATCATATACTTGGCTTTCAATGTTATCTCTAAAGTTCGTGACGAACTCTGCATACTCCAAAGGATCCCCACTAAATTTCATTAATTCCACCTTCGGTAAGGATGGGCCTTGTTTAATGGCCTGTGCGATGGTTATCCAAGCATCGGACTGCTGCGATTGGAGACTACTATGCCCTACAGGTAACGGACAAGGGTATCCTGCCAGAGGGTATGTGGCCTGCTGTGGAGTGGTCGCTGGGCAAAACTCAGTTACCTTTCCATTTAGACCTGTAGTTTGTGGACTACGAGGCTGTGTATACATTCTTGGCGTCGACTGATTCCTTATTGGTGACAGACCAGCAGGAGTGTACAATGGCTCAGAGATCGCAGTATATTCAGATGTGGTCCTCCGAAGTGAAAAGTGAGGCACAGAGCTAATGGGCATGGTACATGTAAAAAACACTATGGGGCAATGTCGCGGCAATCAAATCCTCTGAACCTGTCTTAGTACTAGCTACTGAGACTACACAAGGCGTTGAGGAGAGGGTGACTACTGGCTGCGTTGTTGCAGGTTTTGGAACTGACAACAAAGGAAGTTGAGGCTGAGCAGAACTAAGTGCTGTCAATGATGTTGAGATCGCTTCTTGACCACTGACAGGCTGCGATTCTGAGATGGGTGTGACACTATTTACATCTGGTTGCAACAAGTGATCTTTACTGAGAGCATTTTGGGCATAATGTTCCTTAAGATAATCATTCATCCCATCCCCACCTTCATCTTCTACACTTTGCTCTATGAGTAAGTCTACTTCTGCCCGTCTCACTCTAGTTTTGGCATTTAATAACTCCATCTTCCTAGACAACTCTGCTTTCCCTTTTTCGACTTGTTCTAATTCTCGTTGGAGATCTTGCCTTCTTTTCAGGGCTTCCATTTCTAACTTGGCTACTTCGATCACTCTCTTCTTCTCTTTAACACTATTTCTACTGCTGGCATAGCTCCTCTCACTCTTAGCAGATCTCACACTAAGTCCAGATTCAGATGGGGGACTCCCCACCCCTTTCCTTTTGGTTCTCCAATCATTTACCAAAATATCTAATTGCACTTTCATGTCTCTTTGATTGTCATAACTGTCAATCATTAATACTCTCCTCTCTTCGTCTTCTTCATATAGAAGATAGTTATCATGACTGCTAACAAAATTATGAAACGCTTCTTCATACCTGGCGACGCCGTCTTCTACCTCGTTCACCTACGCATCAGGACTTGTTATCAATTCTTGCAAATAATTTCGCCGTTTCCGCAGTTCTCCCATATGTCCAGCTCTCTGACATTTCGCATGGACGGCTTTCTCGGCGTTCATTTCTTCGTTCAACGTCTTGTTCAGTGCCTTCGTCCTAGTCGGCCTAGATATCCCACTAGAAGCTTGAGGATTTTTGTCAACAAAACCACTATCCACGTTCCCTTCAGCTAATGATGGCCATAAATACCCATTTCCACCACTCTCATCGCTTTGAAACGTGTGAGCATTTGACGATTTCGCTGACTCAGCAGTATTTAACACCACGTGCGATCCTCCACGATCGACGCTTTTCGGAGTAATTTTGCTCGCCGATTTCTTCTTCTTTTTGGCACGCATTTCCAATATGCGATCAGACAAGCTTGGTGTCTTTCATGAACGCCTCTTCCATACGGTTTTCAACTTGAAACCAATAACTTCAAATGATGTAGCGGCCAACTACGCTGGGCCAGGCCAATAACTCGTATTCATTCAGGTTAACACACATTTAATATATGCAACTGAAACATCTGAACATTTGAAAGGTCTGAAAGATTCGCTGCAACAAGAAAACGATACGCTAGCTTACAACTTTGTGTACAATATAGAAATACGAGCAAAAGAACCAAGCGAAAGCCATACTTACAAGTTATTGTGTCTGCATTCCTATGATCGCAGTACAAACCTAGAAATCCGTACGCTCACATGGCGAGAAAGTAAAAAATACCTACATATTCTTGGTCAGCGGTAATGACTACTTCATG